GCACAGAGTATGTTGATAAAATAGCAGGAGGTTGCAAAATTGAAAGGTTGTCATGAGAGCTTATTATCACAGACCTTGAAATAAATCACTAGTTTGAACTTTAATGGATGATGGGAAATCATTAAAAGTTTTTAATCCTGGAGTGGCAATCAAAAAACAACAACATGTGTAGATATATATAGATTTGTAAATGCATATATATTTATACAGATAATATATTTGAGCAAAGGGTTTACAAAAATATTTCCCCTCTACATTAGAATTTCACCTTCATTTAGTACTCCAGCTTTGTTTCCCTGGTAACCGGACATATTGTCACTATGTTTCCAGGCAACATTGCTCATGATAAAAAAGACCCTGAAGGGTAAAATCCATGTGCACTTGGAGAAAGAATAAATAAGCCCCAGAGATCTCATGGGGATGCCCTGACTGGGCCTTCCTGAGTACACTGATTCTTGTAACTTGGCATGTCCCTCATGGGGATCCTGGAAGCTGTGCCTATAGAGTTGTTAGAGGAGATCTTGTCTCCTATGGGATATGAAGCTTTTAAGCCAGGACAGCTCCTACACCTGCCCAGTGTGATTCTTATCATCTTGCACCTAAATTACCAACTGTGAGGATTGCCCAAGGTCTTCCATGAAAGAGAAGTGTCTCACCCTCCCCTCTTGGCAAGCTGTGATTCCTGTGGGATGAGGCCAGACATGGCCTGCATGAATGTTGAGCTGAGTCAGACCTGAAAATCTAGTCTGAATAGACTGCCTTGAATAAGACCAAAAAACCTAGAAATTATAAAAGTGGTATGATTGACTATTAAAAAATTGTGAAACTTATTTTAGAATTAAGATACTACAAATAAATTCAGAATGCAATTTAGGAAAGATTTGCAGATCACATGGCAGATAGAGAGTTAGTATCTATACTATGAAAATATCTCTTACCTAGTAGAAAAAAATTCAAATAGTGGAACAGGAAAAAAAAAAAAAAGGACAAAGAATAAGAATAATCATTGACAGAAAAGCAAAACCAAATGGCAAATGGAAAATGAAAAGATAATTGTGTTATAGATCAAGGATTATACTACAACATCCCATCTCGTGTTATACTACAACACCACTTTGATAATAACACTTCTTGTGGGAGTTTGCTGGAAGGACCGGGTAATATTTACTAAAACTAAAAAATTCCCCTGCCTTAACCTATCCATTTCTCTGAAACTGTGTCATAATAATAAAATCATATTATAATAGGATAACTGTATAAAGATGTTTACTGTGCTTTATTAGTGACAGCGATGTGAATGCCCAATGGTTGGTAATGGATGAATAAAGGATGGCGTCTCCATCTCATGTACTATTTAGCAGCCTTTAACAATTACTTATATTTCTACCTGTTGACTTGGTAGTGTTTCTTTTAAAGTGTTGGCATAGTATATGTGGAAAACGAGGCTTATATTGGGTTGATAATTTAAGTTCCTTTTGATGGGCAGCTGGTGGAGAGGGTAGATGAAAAATGAGATGCAACAACTCGAGGATAATATATAATTCCACTTATGTAAGTTTTATATGAGTATACACATAAAGCAATGTGGTGTGATTATCAAAATGTTAAATGGTTACCTGAAGACAATTGGTTTGAGGTAATTTTTGATGTTTTTTGTACTTTTGTGCATTTAAAAATATGCCTGTAGGGGTGCCTAAGTGGCTCAGTCAGTTTAGCCTCTGACTCTTGATTTCAGCTCAGGTCATGATCTCATGGTTTTGTTCATGAGTTTGAGCCCCACATCAGGCTCTGTGCTGATGGTCTGGAGCCTGCTTAGGATTCTTCCCCTCTGTCTCTGCCCCTCCCCTGCACTTACACATTCTCTCCCTCGTTGTAAATAAATAAATAAACTTTAAAACATATGCTTGTATTTATAGATTATATATTTATATATATCATATAACTTCTATGATATATATAAATATATACAAACATGTAAAATAGCTGTTGGTGAAGATGTGGAGAAAGGGGAAACCTTTTGTACTGTTGATGGGAATTCAAACTGGTACAGCCACTCGAAAACAGCATGGAGGTTTCTCAAAAAATTAAAAATAGAACTACCCTACGACCCAGCAATTGCACTACTTGGTATTTATCCAGAGGATACAGGAGTGCTGATTTGAAGGTCCACATGCACCCCAATGTTTATAGCAGTGCTATCAACAATAGCCAAATTACAGAAAGAGCCCAAGTGTCCCATCGACTGATAAATGGATAAAGAAGATGTATATATACACAATGGAATAGTACTCAGTGATTGAAAAAAATGAGATACTACCATTTTCAATAACATGCGTGGAACTAGAGTGTGTTATGCTAAGCGAAATAAGTCAGAGAAAGACAAATGTATGATTTCGCTCATGGGGAACTTAACAGACACAGCAGAAGAAAATAATGCTCCTGAAACTAATACTACACTCTATGTTAACTAACTTGAATTTAAATAAATAAAATGTTTAAATGATTAAATTAATTTTAAGAAAATGTGTACTTAGGGGTGCCTGTGGGTGCTCAGTTGGTTAAGCCTCCAACTTAGCTTAGGTCATGGTTTCATGGTTCATGAATTCGAGCCCCATGTTGGACTCTGTGCTGACAGCTCAGAGTCTGAGGCCTTCAGGTTCTGTGTGGCTCTCTCTCTCTCTCTCTCTCTCTCTCTCTCTCTCTCTGTGCCTCTCTCTCTGCCTGCCTCTGCCCCACTTGTGTGCATGTGCTCTCTCTCTCAAAAATAAATAAACATTAAAAAGATATGTACATATATATTTAAATAAAGGAAAGACAAATCACAATTTCACTAGGGAATAAACCATTTATAGGTGCCTTCTATAGTGAGAAACAGTATATAGCATGATGCTTAAGAGGTGCTTAACGATAGGTAGGGCTCTGGAACTGTCTGGATTTCTGGTTCTGAACTTAGGCATATTACTTAACCTCTCATGGTCTAAGTTTCCTCATTAGTAAAATATAAATAACAATAAAAGTACCAGGAGGAGCCTGGATGGCTCAGTCCTTGGGCATCAGACTTTGGCCCAGGTCATGATCTCATGGTTCATGAGTTCAAGTCCCATGTCAGGCTTTGTGCTGACAGCTTAGAGCCTGGAGCCTGCTTCGGATTCTGTGTCTCTATCTCTGTCCCTCCCCTGCTCATGCTTTCTTTCTCTCTCTCTCTCTCCTCAAAAATAAAATAAAAATTTTTTTTTAGTTTTAAAAAAAGTACCTACCTCAGGTTTGTGAGGATTAAATGTGACCCTACATGTGAAGTTTTTGTTTTTGATTTTTTTTTTTAATGTTTATTTATTTAGGGGGAAAGAGCATGTGAGCCGGGGCGGAGCAGAGAGAGAGAGAGAGAGAGAGAGAAAATCCCAAGCAGGCTCCATGCTGTCAGTGTGAAGCCAGATGTGGGGTTTGATCCCACAAACCTTGAGATGACCTGAGTTGTAATCAAGAGTTGGATGCTTGACTAACTGAGACACCCAGGCCCACCCCCTGACATGTAAAGTTTTTAGAGCAAGGCCTAGCGCTTGATAAGGACTCAAGAATTGTTAATAATCATAAACATTTGTTACTACTACTTTTGCAGTCCAATGCTAGAAATATTACTAAAGTATCACGTTTTAAACTGAACAGGTTTTTAAGGCAGCCAGTGTAGAGGAGATAAAATTTTGCTGAGACTGACATAAAACAGGTTAGTAGAAGTAAAGCATATAAATTTTGTTTAATAGAATTTTACATGTATATGGGAGTTGCCACAAGAAAACAAAGATCCAAAAAAGTGGCCAAGTCTAAGTGCTTATATTACTAGGTTGAACATAAAGTGCCAGTTGTGGAAAAGTAACCTATGTGGGGGAGAAGACAGGAAGAATTTTTAACAAGATCTATTTGTGCAGATTTCTCTGGGCCCTGACTCCTCATCTCTTGATGATCAGAATATTTCTTTCCTTCTGGTATAGGGAGAGTGTCTGTCATGTGAGAGTTGATCTCCGGCTTTCAGGAAGAAAAAGGAAGGCAGAAATGCCCTTTGTGCATCTGCTGTTATTCAGGTTCCTTTAACTCAAAATAATCAACAGGGCAAAGTGGCATGTTTTAGAGATGCATGTTCTGAATCCCTTCACTAAGTATAATATCCATTTGACACAAAAGGAAACTGAGACTCTTAAAGAAAGCTAAGAAACTTCCCCAGAGTCTTATAGCTCATAACTTGAGCCCATGGTTTCCCATAGAGCCAACAGCACTTTATGTGTCTTTTCCCATATACCATATACTTTCTTTTACTTAATATGTTCTTTCCTGGAAGGAGAAAGAAGAAAGAAAAGGGGAAGGGACAGGAGGGGAGGAGAGGTGGAAAGGGAAGAGAAGGAGGAAAGGAAAAGAAGGAAAGGAAAGGGGAGAAGGAAGGAAGGAAAAGAAAGGAAAACTGGGGTGCCTGGGTGGCTCGGTTGGTTAAGCGTCCAACTCTGGCTCAGGTCATCATCTCAGGGTTGATGGATTCGAGCCCCATCTTGGGCTTGGTGCTGATGGCTCGGAGCCTGGAACCTGCTTCAGATTCTGTGTCTCCCTCTCTCTGCTCCTCCCCCACTCACTCCTCTGTCTGTCTGTCTCTCTCTCAAAAGTAAACAAAAAAAAAAAAAAAAGGAAAAGAAAGATCATACACCAAATATATCATTTGCTCTTTAGAGCTTTAGGGGAGAACTGTGTTTGAGGTATTGGTTGCATAGCATATCTTTAGGAATCCATAATTAAATTTGAATGAGTGTGTGGTCAGAGCTGATGGGCTGTGTAAGGCATGACTATTATAAATTTGTGTGTGTGTATTGCTATTTTTTAAACATAATCATAATATTTATCTCTGCGCCCTATTTCTGCATGATTATGATGAATTTCTTTCTGAAATTTATTTGGTCAAAAGTGGAAATTTAACAGTTCCATTGCATTCAGTTTAAAACTTTTTAATCCTTTATATTTAGGTTATCTTCACTGTAATGAACATGATAGTCTGAGATTGAGGTGGCTGAGACAGACGTTAGAATCATTCATCCCGCAGCCTTTGGTAAATGTAATTAAAGTGTCTGAATTGGATGGCAGAGAAATGGGAGATGCCCAGCCTGAAATGTTTGACAAGGTACTGTTATTACATTGTGACAAACTGATGGACTCCCAATGATACCGCTGTTATGCTGCTTTGTTGTTGTTGTTTTCCATCTGCTTCCAGACATAGCCTGATACAGTTTCTCAGTACTCTGGGAAATTTTGATAAAGTGAACAAGGAAGCAGTTTTTATTTGATGGCCAGCATGGTTCAAAGGAAGCGGTAACATTGGGATTGGGGATTATTGAATGTTTTTCATTTCCAAGTGCCTCAGAGATACTCAGGAAAATATCAGATGTTATTTGGGTCAGTGTACAAACATGTGCACTGTATTGCTTTAATTTGGTAATATTTCATATCAGCGTATGACAGTTGAAGAAAAAGAGAACATTTCAGTGAACCAAAATTGAAATATTAGTTCTTAAGAGTAAATGCTGAGAATTCAGAAATATAGTTATGTCTGTTTAAAATGAGTAACTTCTGTAAAAATTTTTGCTGTAGTTGTCAAGAGTATGAAATGTGATTATACGTTAGTAGACTTTTAGTTCTCCTGTTACCTCCCCCCCCCCCCCCAGAAAAACAAACACTGGAAGTGTAAAGTATTACTGAAGAAAGGTCATGAAGAATTTAGCATGATATATTTTTGGCTTTAAAAGAAATGACTTTATTTATTAGCTATTTTTTTTGTCACATTTTACATAGCTTCTCCATGTACTACGTATTTGCATCATATATCCTTTTTTTCTCTAGGTGTTAGTTGATGCTCCGTGTTCAAATGATCGAAATTGGTTGTTCTCTTCTGATTCTCAGAAGGCAGCCTGGAGGATAAGCCAAAGGAGCAATTTGCCTGTTCTGCAGATAGAACTCTTGAGGTGAGGGCTATTAATACAAAAGTTTATTCCGGCTTCTAATGTAATTTAAATAGGCATGACAAATCATGACACAGAGAAGTCCCCAAATGGAGGGTTTCCTGTGTAGGTGTTGGTAATTATTCCTCCAAAGGCTGTATCCAGAAAATGCTTAACCTTTTTCCTTTCAGCTCTCCTGCTCTAAGGACTCACTACTCCTATCCACTCAATGAAATTTGGTATTGCTGTGTATTGTCATTTAAAATTGTTTGCATATCTGGACTGTCTCAGATCTAGGGTTCGGCACCCTATTCTTTCTTCAGGACCTGAAAAGCACCCCCATAATAGTAGCTTTGGACCAGGTTGTATTTTGTTGGTAATGGACACATTGTTCTGGATGAGTCAGCCTCCTAGGAAGTTGTAGTTTATTGTTAGCACTTATCTACCCTTTAAGAGTTTTCTAGAAGCATGTGACCACCAAGAGATACTTGGCTTTCCTCTAAAAAGAGACACTATGGGACATACTGTGCTGGTTTTAAAAGAGATTTCTACTTATACTCCACTCTCAAGCAATTCCTGTTGTTTAATGCTGAACAAAAATTCTCTGAAATATTTAAAATATGGTTAAATGATGCATTATCACCTATTATCTCTTACATGTGGAATAAGACTGATTAACATTTTATGCACTGCTGACAATGTGGTTTGCTTCCAACTTCTGATTGATACACAACAATGAATACATGCCATTATCTAAGTATTACAGTCAACTAATATGTAGTCTTGTTCTTGTACCGGATTAAGTATCAGCTCATTATGGCTATTCTGGTTAGTACCCATTAGAGGGTTCTTGTAGATGTTACTCATCTGGCATATAAACTGTTCATATGATTCCAGTGTCAGCCTTTCATCTACTAAACCCTAAGATATTTTGAGAATTTTATATCACTTTTCCCCTTCTACCTCTTGGGTTATTAGCTTTGGCATGTTGATCTGGCTTCTTGGTTAATTATTCCAGCTACTCTGGGCCTTGCTATTATTATAATTTATGCCTTGTAATAGACAATAAGTGTTATGATGGCTTGTTACCATTGTGACCTCTAATTTTTTTTAAGGTGTGATTAAGCAACCAGGCTTCCTGAGAATATCATTGTTCTTTCTCTCATGAAAAAGCCTCCCTATACTTCTTTTTCTTCCTGTTCATTATTAAGCTTTTTGTGTTTTATATTCTGTCGATTGCTTTTCCTCCCATTTTGTCTCAATTCATGGTAATCTATTTTCTGTTCCCTTTATTCTTCCAAATCTATGCTTGTTAAAAATACTAAAGATCCATTAAATGGATAAATAGATATTTTTCAATTTTAATTTTACTTGATCTCTTGATAGCATTTAAAAAATATATTTTATTATACAACTACTAAATGCAAACATTTTCATTGTAAACAAACTCAGATAATGAAAATAAAGCAAAAAGCCCCCTTGGACATAGACCCAGCCAAATACCAGCTTTCTTCACTGAGTTAACTGTTGGACTTAAGTTTGGGGCCCACTCTTCCAAACTTGTTCTGTAGCTCATTTTACAATTACATGTTCATAGAGAAATACATTAAAAAATAACTGCTATCGTTGTGTATATATTGATCTGAAACTTGCTTTTTTGTACTTAATTTTTCTTAGTTTTTTTTTTCCTTGTAGATTTACTTTGTTCTTTTCAACTCTTGTGAAATATTAAATAGCGTCAGTCTATCCTATGCTATTTAATCTTCTAATTTTGGATGTCTACATTATTCCTTTTTTTTTTCTTTTTACTTTTTAAAAATGTTTATTTTTGAGAGTGAGAGAGAGAGAGAGAGAGAGAGAGACAGAGGGTGAGCAGGGGAGGGGCAGAGAGAGAGAGACACACACAGAATCTGAAGCAGGCTCCAGGCTCCAAGCTGTCAGCACAGTCTAATGCGAGTTCATTATGTTATATATAACATCATATAGCGTTACAGTCATCATCATGAAGGTCCTGCATTTATATAAACCTCACATAGGCACCTTCTTATGCCTTAACAACGAAGGCTCTTCCTTAGTGGCCCCTCCCCTCCCCCATTGTCTTAGTCTCCAAAAGGAGTGGCTTTAGTGCTACATCATTTTAGTAGCATATTGAACAGGTGCAAAACTGACCTCTCAATCACTACAGGTGTAGATTTTCATGTAATCACATGGGGAGCACCATTATACCAGCTGTCTCGTATTCTTTTCCTTGACCAGCTACTCTGCACTTCCTGTCCCTGATGCTTGGTCTGTGTGAGAGTTTTCAGAGCCACTTAGACTAGTTGAAACTTTGGGTCCCTTTGCTGTATGATTATGATGATACCGGGGAAAGCGTGGGATACCCAAGCTCTAGGCACAGAAAACAGTTCTAGTTCCCCGACATCTACAAGTCTGGGAGTTAAAAAGATAAAGGAAAAAATGATAACTCTAGCCACAATTTCTCTTGTATCACCTGCCCCTGACTCCAGAAAATGAAATATGTGTGTGGGTGTGTACACACATATATAGTAATTTTCTCATAGCTCTATCACCATACCACATATAAAGAAGTTTCCTACTTTCTTCGAAATCTTTTTCACCTAATTATTGCCTTACCTCCCTTTAACAAAAGGTAATCCTTTTATTCCACAATAAGAAATAAAAGGTTTCAAATGCAAACATATGCAAGAGAGTAAATATATTGATGTGTGAATTTTAATCAAAAGTATAAAGGATTGATAGTAGATCCTTATTACATTTGCAAAGAGCAATTAGAAGGCAAGCAAGCAAATATTGCCTGGCCTGATATTGTGGACAGAAGATGGCACTCAGGAGGGAGAAAACAAGAGGATAATTGAGAGGCAAATAAGGAAAACTTTTTGTACTGTTTTGTTGAAGACTAGACTTGTATTTGCATTTGTCAGCTGACAGGTTATGGTACACAAAGATACTTTATGCTCTCTATGGCTGTATATTCATTTACGTTATCAGAAATCATTCATATTTATATTAAATAGGCCATCTACACACTGTTTACAGTTGTAGCTTTTGAAAACACAATACTCTGTAGCCGAATATTAATCTTACATGTTTTTATGAATGTGATACCTAAATTAAAATTGGTACTTTTTTAAAGTTTATTTATTTATTTCAAAAGAGACAGAGAGAGTGAGCAGGGGAGGGGCAGAGAAAGAGGGAGAGATCCCAAGCCGGCTCTGCACTGTCAGCGTGGAGCGGGAAGTGGGGCTTGAACTCAACGAACCACCACGAGATCATGATCTGAGCTGAAACCAAGAGTCGGATGCTTAACCGACTGAGCAACGCAGGTGCCCCTAAAATTGATACTTTTTTTAATAGAAGTTTCTTGATTTACACTTTTTTTAAAGACTAATATTAGTAGATATGTAAGTCTTTTTTAAAAAATTCTTTTAAAGATTAATGTATGCATATAATCATGAAAACAGTGATCAAACCTGATTTTTCTTTTTAGCATGAAAAGCTTATTAGAGGGCACAATGATGACAGGAGATAGATACCAAAGCATATGGCTTCATTGTACACTTATTGAGGACCCTTTGATTTATCCATACAGAAATGGAAAAATTAGACTCTTCTATTTAATTTACAATACAGGAAGATAAAACTGTATACAACTCTCTTATACATCTGTCCCCAAACCATTTTCAGAAGATGAGAATGTAGGACAATGATATAAGGAATAATTGAACATAAGACATTTTTATTAATTGAATACCGTTTGAAAGTATATCTTTATTATCATTTCTCAAAACAATTTCTGAGAGCAGTCGTTTCTGTTACAAACTATGTACATACATAATCAGGTTCTCTTGCCTCATTTTTATTTAAATGTATTAGGATAAACAGAGTGAGAAAATATGCTGAAAATGATATACATGTTGTCTCTAGAAAGTACCATGGTGTTTGTGCAAGAGAAGTTTACATGATTTTTAGGTGGGAAAGCACGAACTGAAGAGTATGATTTATAACAAAAATATTGGTATGTTATTGCAGTAATGTATCATGTCATCTATTTACCCAGAGGAAATCAATCACATTTAAAATACTGACCCCTTCTGGTTCTCTTTTCTTACTACTTGACAAGTAAAATCCAATTTGTGAACTCATTGAAAAAGGAAGCTTAGATTATTCAGTAACATTTTGAAAATTTGTATAAATCATCCAGATAACTATCCTTAAAAGTGGTACTCTGACAGCAAGAATTGTGTTTTAAAAGGAACATTAAAAAAATAAAAATCACCAACAATTCCTCTGTCATGCTCTTGAGCTGAGATAAGGGATACCTGGTGACTGTGAAGCCTGAGTCTTCATCATTCATCAACGCAGTGACTAAAACGTTGATATATTCATGTTGGAAAAATAATCTTTGGACATACAGGTCTATTAGAATGGAAGATTTCCACCAGTGTTTCAGTTATGTATATATTTTCTTTTTAAAGGTCAACTAATTCAGTTAGCTTTGCATACTATCATGATATGCTTAGTCGTATGTTTGGAATACAGAAAACACAAGCAAACCCTTAATACCCCTACGGCTACTATTGCTACTGCTAATACTTCTCTTACTCCCCTACCTCCTCCTTTTTCTTCTTTTTCTCAAGTTAGATGGCAGGAGTCAGAGATTCTCAGATTAAAAATCTGTTATTTGTTTGAGGCACCTGGGTGGCTCAGTCAGTTGAACGTCCGACTTTGGCTCAGGTCATGATCTCACGGTTCATGGGTTTGAGCGCCCTGCATCTGGCTCTGCGCTGATAGCTCAGAGCCTGGAGTCTGCTTTGGATTCTGTGTCTCTCTCTCTCTCTGCCCCTCCCCTGCTCACACTCTGTCTCTTCCTTTTTCAATAATAAACATTAGAAAAATTTTTTTAAATCTGTAATTTGCACAAAGTACACACTTCTTTTTATTAAGATTGTACAGACCAAAATATTCCACATTAAATACAATTGTAAAAGGTTGAAGAGACATCC